TTTTCTCACATTGTACCAGAGCTAGGACCAGGTTTTTGCCCTAAGAAGGGAAGTGGTCAACTGTAGCCCTTGAAAACTACCCTGGAGGAACCAAAACCAGCAGAGGCAGCTGTCTCTCTTCCCTCTGGGCAAAGCCAGAGCTGGCCACTGTCCTGGCCCAGCCCCAGCTGTCCTGGAGCCCAGGCATGGCCCAGTCCCTCAGGGCTGTACTCAGATCTTCCTCTAAATGCTTCTTGTGGCCAGGCACAGTGGCTCATGCCTAGATTCCCAGCACTTTGAGAGGCCGAGGCAGGAGGATCCCTTGAATCTAAGAGCTTGAGACTAGCCTAAGCAACATAGCGAGACCCTGTCTCCACAAAAAAAAATACAAATTAGCCAGGTGTGGTGATGCATGCCTGTGCATCAGGAGGCTAAGAGGAGAGGATAGCTTGAGTCCAGGCGGTCAAGGCTGCAGTGGGCAGTGATTGCACCACTACACTCCAGCCTGGGCAACAGAGCGAAACCCTATCCCTAAATAAGTAAGTACACACTTCATGAACATCAACTCAAGCAAGCTGGGCTCCTTGCTTGGTACGAAATGCAGAGGACCAGGGGTGGGGCTGGAGTGTAAGAGAACTGCCTTGGCATTGCCCAAACCGGAACAAGTTCTTCCTCTAACGCAGTTCCTAATCTTTTTGTAATCTGGAGCCTTTGACAACTGGGGAAGCTTTTGGACCTCTTCTGAGAGTAATGATTTTCAATGTATAAAACAGAATGAATGCATTGTATTACAAATGGCGCCAGCTATCTTGCATTGCAGTTTTAATTATTTTTACTTGTAATAAATAGATGAAATTATTATAGTACACATTAAACTATAAGAACTAATAGCTGGTTCAGTAACTACTATAATTTTGAAGTAATGATACATGTAAGTTATATTTTGAGATATCTCCAATAACTGTATTGTGTTTTAAAAACATCTGTGATTTCAACTAATGACAAAGTTAGTGATTTTTTTTTTTTTTGAGATGGAGTTTCACTCTTGTTGTCCAGGCTGGAGTGCAGTGGCGCAATCTCAGCTCACTGCAACCTCTACCTCCCAGGTTCAAGCGATTCTCCTGCCTCAGCCTCCCAAGTACCTGGGATTACAGGCATGTGCCACCACACCCAGCTAATTTTGTATTTTTAGTAGAGACAGGATTTTATCACGTTGTCCAGGCTGGTCTCGAACTCCTGACCTCAGGGTTCCACCCACCTTGGCCTCCCAAAGTGCCAGGATTACAGGCATATGCCACCACGCCTGGCCAGTTAGTGATATTTTTAATGCAACTAGAGTTGCATTTTTTACCTATATTCATAATTGAAGGAAATATTAAATTTTAGTTAAAGACCAGGTACAGTGGCTCATGCCCATAATCCCAATTTAAAAAAAAATTTGGGAGGCTGAGGCAGGAGGATTGCTTGAGGCCAGGAGTTTGAGACCAGCCTGGGAGACAAAACAAAACCCTGTCTCTACAAAAAATAAAAGTAAAAAAATAAATAAATTAGCTGGGTACAGTGGCATGTGCCTGTAGTGTCAGCTGCTTGGGAGGCTGAGGCAGGAGTATCACTTGTACCTGGAATTTGAGGCTGCAGTGGGCTGTGCTCACGCTCCACTGCATTCCAGCCTAAGCAAGAAAGTAAGACCCTGTCTCTAAACAAACAAAGTACTAATACATTTCAGTTGAAGGTTAATGAAAATAAAGACTTAATTTTTTCCCCACCCAAGTTCATGGACCTCCTGGATTCTTTTTGTGGACCTCAGGTTACTCTTCTCTATGCTTTTTTTTTTTTAGAGACAGGGTCTCATTCTGTCACCCAGGCTGGAATGCTGTGGAGGCACTGCAGCCTCAAACTTCTGGGCTCAATGGATTGTCCCACCTCAGCCTCCTGAGTAGCTGGGACTACGGGTGCACACCACCATACCCAGCTAATTTTTTAAAACTTTTTTTGTAGAGTTGGGGTCTTGTCTGTCCCCAAGGCTGGTCTTGAACTCATGGGCTCAAGCAGTCCTCCCACCTCAGTCTCCAAAGTGCTCAGACTACAGGGGTGAGCCACCGTGCCTAGCCCTCTCCCCTAATATTGTTGGCCTCACTTCCCCAACTAAAATGGGAGCTCACAAAGAACAAAGCCCATTCCTTCGTCTTATACTTAGTACCTTGAAAGGGCCTACCACACAGTAGGTGGTCACCTGTTAATCTATTAGGTCTTTTGGATTTTCTAGGTAGACAGTCACACAGATTGCAAATGACAGTCTTTCTCTTTTCAATCTTTGTATTTCTGTTTTCTTGTCTTACTGCATTGACTGAAAGGTTTTCTCTCTCTCTACTAGCTGCTTCTAGTTCAACTCTCTGTGTCTGTTTAAAATATCACCTCAGAGTGCCCTTCCCTGCTGTCCTACCTCAGTGGGTCCTCATCTCAGTCTCTACCTCTGTTACCTCCACCACAACCCCCAGCTTATTCCTTTTCAGTACTTAATTTTATTCAAGACAGTGTCTCACTCTGTCACCCAGGCTGGAGTACAGTGGTGCAATATTGAATAGTAGCAATGATGGAGGGCCCCCCAATCTTTTTATGCTCACTACTCATGAATTTAAGCAATAGGAATGTAAAGTACCTACCATGGGTCAAACCCTGTGCCTGGGGATAACGATGTAACACATTTGAGATCTTTCCTCTCCACTGAAATACCTGAGCAGTCAGAGGGTTTCAGTGAACACAGCAATGCTGTGAACATCACCAAATTCTCTAGAGTTGCTGAGCTGCTCCTTTGAGATCCTGGTTCCCAAAAAGTATGGACATAGGTTCCTGCTGGTGGCCCCAGGTCCCAGGGCATCAGTAAGGTTGGGAGCTGCAGACTTTCCCAGGGCCACTGCATTGTGGAGCAGAGGCAAGTACACTGGAGAAGACAGAGTGATGCCTCTCTAGGGGAAGGAGTGCGGGGAGGCAGCCAGGCCAGGGTTTGAGCCTTGCAGGGCCTGTCGAGGCCACCACCTGTCTGCACTAAGCATCTAACTACAGGCAAGATCAGATGTTAAGACAGAGGACTGCAACTTCAAGATGTGCAGCTAGGGGACCGGATACTTGTTCCCTTTCCCCTTTCTCAACCATAGGGGAGTGAACACCAAGCAGGAGCTGTCAAGAGCAGTCCCCATATCCTCTCCACTATGTCTAGTTGACCCTGGGGGAGGAGGAGAGTTTTTAATAAAATATAAGGAAGTTGATGTTTAAAATGGACCAGACTATGCCTTAGGAACTGGCATGGGACTGTTGTAATAATACATGACCGAGAAGTCAGGAGATCGGACCAAAGTGTTTTTAAGAAGGCCTGCAGCAGGCTGGGCATGGTGACTCACGCCGTAATCCCAGCACCGGAGGCCGAGGTGAGTGGATCATTTGAGGTCAGAAGTTCAAGACCAGCCTGACCAACATGGTGAACCCTCATCTCTACTAAAAATACAAAAGTTAGCCGGGTATGGTGGCAGGCACCTGTAATCCCAGCTACTTGGGAGGCTGAGGCAGGAGAATCACTTGAACCTGGGAGGCAGAGGTTGTAGAGAGTCAAGATCGTGCCATTGTACTCCAGCCTGGGCAACAAAGTGAGACTGTTGCTGGACGCAGTGGCTCACGCCTATAATCCCAGCACTTTCAGAGGTCAAGGCAGGCAGATCACTTGAGGTCAGGAGTTCGAAACCAGTCTGACTTTTTGGACAGAGACTGGTGAAACCCCGTCTCTACTAAAAATACAAAAATTAGCCAGTTATGGTGATGCTGGCTTGTAATCACAGCTACTCGGGAAGCTGAGGCAGGAGAATTGCTTGAACCTGGGAGGTAGGGCTGCAGTGAGCCGAGATCACACCACTGCACTCCAGTATGGCGACACAGTGAGATTCTGTCTCAAAAAAAAAAAAAAAAAGGAAAGAAATCCAGCTGCGTAGCAGGATTGGGGAAAGCCAAGTCAGTTGAAGCCATGGAAACAGTACCCCTATGGGAGGCAGAAGAATGCACCCTCCTACCAAGATATCCACATCCTAACCCCCTGAACCTGTATGTTGCCTTCAGTGGCAAAGGGAACTTTGCACACGTGAAGGATCCTGAGCTGGAGAGATTAGCCTGGATTATCCAGGTGAGTTCCACATAATCACAGGGTTCCTTAGAAGAGAAAGGGAGAAGGCGCTGTGACCACGGAGGCAGCGGGCAGATAGAGGTAGTCGGGGATCGCAGGCACCTTTCAAAGCCGGGAAAAGCAAGGAACACACTACCCTGGAGCCAGCCTCCAGAGGCACAGCCCCACCCACACCTTGATTCTGGCTCTGTAGGACCCATCTGAGACATCTGGCCTCCAGAGCTGTAAGGTAACACATTTGTGTGAAGCCACTGGGTTAGTGGTGATCTGTTACAGCGGCCTGAGTAAACTAACACAACCCCAAGGAAGTGAACCTCTCCCCACAGCCCCGACCCAACCAGAAGGGAGAGGTGTGTAGAAGACGGTTCTGCAGGATGTTTGGGACAAATGGTCTCTGGGGGAAGACAGAAGCTAACAGAACTGATTCCACTGGGTGAACGGGGTGCTGGGAGGGCCCACAGGGAAGGGCTTCAGAGCTGGGTCTGCGGGGCCGTACAAGTTGGCCAGGAGCAAGGCGGCCCAGGCCAGGCAGGGGCTGCAGGTGGGAAGGCTCCCCTTACCAATACCATCCCCTGAGCAGCCTCAGGCCCCGGACCAAGGGAAGTCCTGAGGGTTGGAGATGCTCACTCCTTAGAACATGCTGCCCACCCTCCACCTCTGCGTGGCAGAAACTGTCCAGGGGATGAACCCAAGGAATCAGGAGACCCAGAAGCACGGGTGGCCCGGAGACTGCGGGATGAAGCAGAAGCTCCCCTAGAGGGGTTGGGGGGTGTATTCTCCCGCTCCAGCCGGCGGAGGAAGGAAGTGGTTCCCTCCGCCCACCCTTCCCTTAGTCTGGCCCGGGGCAGGATCCTCGTGATCTGCGATTCGCTCCCACGGGCGGGACCTTTGTCGGTCTGCAGAGCAGCGGGAGGTCCAGGCCCAGCCTGCGGTGCGGAAGGCGGCCGTGGGGGACGAACCAGTGGACTGACCACAGGCAGGGACAAGGGGACTGAGACCCGGGCGAGGGCCGAGGCCTAGACACCCGCGGAGCGTTGGAGGGCTGCGGGCAGTGGGGGGACAACCGGGGGCAGCGGGGGCGGGGCCTTGTACGGGGCGGGGCTTGGGGCGGGGGCGGGGCCTGTCTTGGGGCCGGGCAGGGCAGGGCAGACTCCGAGGCTCCCAGTCGCTGCTGTGGCCGCGGGCAGGTGGCGCTACGGGTAAGTTCTCAGGCCCGGGGGGGGGCGTACCCCTGTTGGCGTGCAGCCCCTTCTCCAAGACCTCGGTGCCCGATCCCTCCGAGAAGAGGGGACCCCCTTGGATCTCCGCAGTCCGGGTCTCGCCGCGGATCGCGGGCAGGACCCAAGTCCTCGGCTCTGGCGTGTCCCAGCGCGGGCGGTGCGGGCGGGCAGTGCTTCCCCTCCGCGGGGACTGGAGTCCGGGGAGGGGGAGGCGGGAGACGCCGGCCCCAGTGACACCCCCACAACCTTGAAAGTTCGTGTTGTGCGCCGCCCTGGGCCAGGTGCCTTCAGGTCTTCATCCACGCAGCAACCACAGGTGACCATCGTCGTCTTCCTCTTACAGGTGAAGAAACCAAGACGCAAAAAGACCAAGCCCCTTGCCTTGGGTCACACAGCCACAGGAGGGAGAGCCAGAACTCACAACCAGGTCTGTGTCCCCTAAGTCCTCGGATGCATCGTCCCTTCCCCACCGCCCTCCCGGGAGACTGTGGGAAAGAAGTAGGGACAGAGGCAGTGCTGGGTGTCCCGGGAGAAGGTTGCAGTGAGCGGGCCCAGCCATTCCTGAAGGAGGAGCCTCGGGGCAGCAAAGATTTCACTGGAAACACTTTAAAAACACCCACCTTTTGGAGACAGAGATACTGAGGAACAAGAGTGTTAAGGCCAGGGTGAGCCAAGACAGGGGAGAGCAGTTCCTTATTGGAATACCCCCCTAGGAACGTTCTCCCTACCACCTTTACCAGTGCTGTGTGTGGGGGCTTTTGCAGGCTCAGCTAGTGACTTGGCCTGTCTGTGCCTCAGTTTCTGCATCTGTCCTCTGGGGTTAAGCATGTGCCTACCTCACAGGACCGCTAAGATGACATGAGATACTTGGTGTACCCCTGGCACCAGGTTACTACCAAAATTTCATGGTTCCCGTGCCTCCACCCTCCCTCCCGCCCTCTAAGAGTACCTCTCTGTCCTGGGCACCTTTAACTTCAGGTTGTTCAGAGCTATCTGAGATCTGCAGGATTTCCGGGCAGCCCCACCAGCAACTGGGAGCTGCTTGAGTAAGACCCAGGTCAGGGGGTGGGCAACTTCTCTGGCTCTGACTCCCCAAAGGGAAAGACTGATAAGGTTAGGGTTTTGAAAATCTCTGGGCTGAGGCTGCTTGCACAAGGTCCAGAGCTGCTCCGTGGCCCCCTGTCCTCCCCGCCCCTGGTTTAGCAAGAAGGAGGAAGCTAGAGCGTTCTTGTCCCAGACTTGATCATTTCCTAGTCACTGGGCCCCCGGAGCTATCATTGACCACCCCCTCTCCTCTTCCCTTCCCCACAGTCTAGGCCAGCCGCAAGTTCTAACCCAAAGCATATCCTGAATCTGGCCACTCCTCTACCTCCTACTTCCACCCCGAGTCCAGGCCCCAGCATCTCTTGCCTCCTCATCATCCTTGACCCCTCACTCCCACCCAACTCTCCAGTATCACCTGCCAAGCCCTCTCTGTGATCAGGCCCTATGTGATTATTTTTAATTCTTCCCTCTGGCCACTGTCCTGTCCACTCCTGTCCCTAGCCACCTCCTAAGTTCTCTGCTCTCTCAGGGGCTGTGTATGCTGCATATGCTCTTCCTGTTCAAGGGAATGCTCTTCTCTGCAACCTGTGACATACTCCCTTATAATTCAGGAGACACCGTAAATGTTGTGTTGTCCCCAATCACCCCCTCTTCTCTTCCCTTCCCCACAGTCTAGGTTCTAACTTAAGGAGACCCCACCTGCTCCCTGGCCACTTACTCTGACTGGCTAGCTTGCTTCCCAGCACTTAGCTGGGGGTGTGGTCTATCTCCTATGTTTCCTTTCTTCCTTGTCTCCCCAGGTAACATGTCAGCCACCGGGATTCCTGACCTTGCCTTTGCCTCTTCCCCTTGGATTTCCCAGAACCTGAGAAATCAGTGCTTGGCAGCTAGAAAAGACTCAGATATTTTTGTATAGCTGCAGGCAGTGTGTCAGCCATCAGTCTATTTTTCTTCTCAATGCTTGACAGCATTTTTTCCTCCCATTTCTGTAGAGACCTCAGAATTATTCTTCCCAAGAGCCCACTGCCTTCCTCAGCTTTTCCCTAAAGTAGGGCTTGAGGACCACTTCCAGGTTTTAGCCATAATATTCAACTTAGCTATTAATGTGGTTGTCCATATTGTGCATGTTTTTGGCTATCAAATGACTTCTGGGAGATACAGTTTCCTAACTGAGGTATGCAAGTCAAGGGTGGATCATTTTGAAGGCACATACCTCTTGTGACCAGGTGGCTATTTAGAAAAATCATCCCCAGGAATGTGTGCACATTTCCCTGCAGCTCTGCAAGCATTGGGTTTCATCCTTTTTATGTATTGGCTAGTTTAATGGAGAAGGGTATGGTAGTTTTAAATTTTCTGTTGCTTGACTTGCTGAAGCTGAGTGTTTCTCTGCGTGTGTGCTGGTTCTAGTTCCTATCTTACAAAGGAAGGAAATCTCCAGGGCACCTTAATTCTTCTTTCACCTCCTCTTGTGCTGGTGGTTCCACTTGAGCCCCTCTCGTGAGAGCAGGTTGAAGGTCCCAGGGGGCCGGTATGGGACCATACCCTTTCAGTGCAAAGCTGAACTCTGCTGGGTGCAGAAGCTGCTTTGCCAGTCAACCAGTGAGAAACTCTGAGAGTCCCGTGCACCCTCACCTTGGAACTGTGGGGAGAGAAATAACTTTTTTAAAAGTTTTTGTAAAAGTTTATTTCAAAATAATTTTTTAGAATTAGACCAGGCATGGTGGCTCATGCCTATAATTCCAACACTTTGGGAGGTTGAGGCAGATGGATCACTTGAGGTCAGGAGTTTGAGACCAGCCTAGCTAACATACCCAAACCCCATCTCTACTAAAAATACAAAAGAAAAAAGTAGCTGAACGTGGTGGTGGGCACCTATAATCCTAGCTACTCAGGAGGCTGAGATGGGAGAATTGCTTGAACCTGGGAGACAGAGGTTGCAGTGAGCTGAGATCACACCACGGCATTCCAGCCTGGGCAAAAGAAGGAGACTCTGTCTCAGATTAAAAAAAAAAAGGTATAGAGGTTACATAGAGGGATCTGGCACAATGGCTCACAACTATAATCCCAACACCGTGGGAGGCTGAGGCAGGAGGATCACATGAACTCAGGAGGTTGAGACCAGCCTGGAAAACATAGTGAGAAACCCCTTTCTGTAAAAATAGGCTTGGACAAGGTAGTGTGCCTCTAGTCTCAGCTACTCAGGAGGCTGCGGTGGGAGTATCCCTTGAGCCTAGAAGTTTGAGGCTGCAGTGAGCTCTAATTGCACCACTGTATTCTAGCCAGGGTGACAGAGAAAGACCCTCAACTCCAAAACAAACAGGGTGTGCAGGGTTATTCACTGAGGCATTGGGGTAGGAAGAGACTGGGAACAACCTTAAGTGTCCATCACTAGTGGGATTAAACTCGTTCCTACACGGGACTCCTGCACTTCATGCAGGATGCACTGGCATAGAACCACTTCTGAGATACTGTGTTAGTCTTCTGTGGCTGCTGTAACAAATGACCACAAGCTTGGTGGCTTAAGATAACACACATTTATGTTACAGTTCTGGAGGTCAAAAGTCCACAATCTGTCTCTGTAGGCTCAAGTCAAGGTGTAGGCAGGGCTGTATTGCTGCTGCAGGCTCTGGGGGAGAATCTGTTTGCTTTCCTTCCCAACTTCTAGAGGGACCCACATGCCTTGGACTGAAGCCCCATCCTCCATCTTTAAAGCATCGAATCTTCAGATCTTTCTGACTCTAGCCTCTGCTTCTGTCCTCACATCTCTTCTCCTGCCTCCACTTATCAAAGACTCCTCTGTTGACATTGGGTCCCCTGGGATAATCCAGTATCATTCCCTCCATCTTAAGAGTGGCAACTTCATCATATCTGCAAAATCCTTTTTGGTACGTAAAGTAATATACAAGTTCAGGGATTAGGGCATGTGCATCTTTGAGGGGGAGCATTATTTTGCCTACCACACCCTAAAGGGAAATAAGATTCAGAGCAGTACGTGGGTTCATATTTGTTTACAGAAAAAAATAGAAGGTCGGGGGAGAGTATATACAAGTGTGCTTGTGAGGGCTTAGAATACTCGAGAAGGTGATGTAGGAAATGTGTCAGAGCAGCCGCTTCTGGGAAGGAGAATGGGTAGAGGGGAGACTGACTTGTCATAGAATATCTTTTTGTATAATTTAAATTTTTTACTACATTCATAGATCATCTACATTAAAAATAATGTTTTAAAGTAACACCACCTCATTGTAAAAGTTCACGCCTCCCAGAGGCAGAGAAGGAAAACCCCACACCCGGATCACTCCCTTTTCTTCCAAAGATAACCACTGCGAAGACTGATTCTTACAGACCAAAAAAAAAAGCATCCATATTTCTTTTGAGGTAGATGGGGTCATCCTGTAGACTCTGCCGTCATGTGACTCCTCTGCTTGCTCTGTGGCCAGCGTCTTTCCACATCCACATGTGAACGTTGCACAGCACTAGCAGCGCCGCTGCTCAGAGGTGCAGTCACTGACGTAGCTGGTGGCGGATGTGCAGAAGGTTTTGCTGGTTGACAGGGCAACTCCAACACTGGAATGTCTGTCTCTTTTTATTTGGAGTGAAATTCATGTAACATAAAGTTAACCATTTTAAAGTGAATAATTCAGTGGCATTTAGCACGTCACAGTGTGCAACCATCTCCTCTATCAGAACATTTTCATTGCTTTTATTAAGTTTAATAATACATCATTTTACGTTTTAAAAAGTACCTCATTAGCTTCACAGATTTTCATCACCACGAAAGGAAACCCCCTAATCCATGAAGCAGTCACTCTCCATTCTTCCCTGCCCTCTGCCCCTGGAAGCCACCAATCTGCTTTCTGTCATAGAATTTTCCTGTTCTGGACATTTCGTATCAATGGAATCATACAATATGTGACATTTTATGTCTGGCTTTTTTTACTTAACATGGTGTATTTGAGGTTAATCTACATTGTAATATGTATCAGTACTTTATTTATTTATTTATTTTGAGATGGAGTCTTGTTCTGTTGCCTAGGCTGGAGAGCAGTGGTATGATCTTGGCTTACTGCAATCGCCATCTCCCTGGTTCAAGCCATTCTCCTGCCTCAGTTTCCCAAGTAGCTGGGATTACAGGTGCCCGCCACCATGCCCAGCTAATTTTTGTATTTTTAGTAGAGACGGGGTTTCACCATGTTGGCCAGGCTGGTCTCGAACTCCTGACCTCAGGTGATCCACCCACCTCAGCCTCCCAAAGTGCTGGGATTACAAGGGTGAGCCACCCCACACTGCTGCTTCATTTCTTTTTATGGCTGAATAACCTTCCATTGCGTGGATAGACCCACTTTGTTGATCCACTCATCCTTTGATGGACAAGTGACTCATTTGCACCCTTTGGCTATTGAGAATAATGCTGTGAAAGGCTATGAACTTCTGCTTACAAATACGCGCGGGTGTGAGTCCCTGCTTCAGCTCATTTGGCTGTATATTCAGGATGTATGCCCTCCTCCATACACTTTGAACTTGACGCTACTTTCAGACACAGTTTGACTTAAAACTAATTTGTAAGAAAGGTTTGCAGTGCACATACCAAGGTAGATGGCAGCAGGATGACAGATCTGGACAACTGTCTTCTTATTTTTCAGATCCAGAAGCAACAGGGACATGGCCACCTGGGACGAAAAGGTAAATGGATTTTGTGGTCTTGAAGCATTAGAGGATAATTCCAGCCTTGAGATGATAATTCTGTTTGGTGTTTCAGACAGGAGAGGGAGAACACACCTGTTCAGGTGTTTCCGCTACACTGAAATACTTAAAATCACAATGATGAAACTTGACAAAACCTCCAAATACCGTGATCATCCCCCTCAGACCATTTGAATCCCAGCCCTTCATAACTGTGTGCATGTTAATAACCATGTGTCCTTAGGCACAAAATCACTGTGTGCCCTTCAATTCCCTGAGCCTCGGTTTCCTTATCTGGAAAATAGTGAAAAGATAATTTACCACCACTGCCTCTGAAGGATTGTCGGGAAGATTTGATAAGACAGTGGTCTCAGAATGCTAGGCAAGCTGAGCCCATACAGGGCTTTCCCTGAGTGCCCATTTTACAGGTAATGACACTTGGCCACAGAGAAGTAAAGTCACTTCTCAAGATCACACAGATAGAGAGTGGTAGAAATGGGATTTCAGGCCAGGCACAGCGGCTCACGCCTGTAATCCCAGCAGTTTGGGAGGCCAAGATGGGTAGATCACTTGAGGTCAGGAGTTCCAGAACATGGTGAAACCTCATCTCTACTAATAATACAAAAATTAGCCAGGCATGATAACACATACCTGTAATCGCAGCTACTCAGGAGGCTGAGGCAGGAGAACCACTTGAACCTGGGAGGCAGAGGTTGCAGTGAGCTGAGATTGTACCATTGTACTCCATCCTGGGTGATAAGAGCAAAACTTCATCTCCAAAAAAAAAAAAGAGAGATTGAGATTTCAACCTGGCCTGACTCCAGAGGAAATGCTTTCCTCCCATATCTTACAGCCATCTCCAGTAGAAAATAGACTGTGTCTTTAATATCTGGGATACAGGTTGGGTTTGGGGGCACTAGTTGTGAAGACTGGGGGCAAGGTAGAAAGTGTTGATTCCACATCAGCTGTTCACCTCGAGGTTCTGAGGGCCTGGACAAGCCAAGCTGGCAAGGGCAGAGCAGGAAGCTCAGGGTAGCAGCAGGGGTGAGTGGGGCAGAGTCTGAGAAGCAAATGTGAGCTTCAGAAGGACCACAGGATGATGGTGGTGATTGTGTATTTCATCAAATTGATGACCCTGGTGACTGTAAGAGGAGCCGCAGGAGCTGCAGGTACCCTCAATAAGAAAGTCAGCATGGAAGAAAGGTTAAGTGGGAACTGCTCATGCTTTTCCTTCATTGTCATTCCCTATTAAATTAGAAAAAAATGAAAAGAACATTCAGAAATGCTTCATGATGATTAGACTGTGGGGAAATCAGCTCACTCGTACGTAGCTGATGGGGGACTGGGTCAACCCATGCAACTCTTCTAGAAACGAAATTTGACAGTTTGTATCAAGAATATTGAAAATACTCATATTCAAGCCTGGTCATCTCACTTATGGAAAAAAAACCATAAAGTAAAAGTACAATTTATAGCACCGTGTTTCTCGGCACATGAGGCAACGCTGTCTGTAGATGTAACATGAGGAGAAGCGAAGTGGGCACGTGCTGCCATTCACTGTGATAACAACTAACACAAGGCTGAAACCGATCAATGGTCAGGCCCATCCAGATTTTAGAGACGTTAAAATGTGATAAAATGTGGTCTTAGAATTGGATTTAAAACCATAAAACCATGCAGAATGGGTAAAAACCATGCAAAATGCAATAATGAGACCATTGAACTCCTTGGTAAGTTTTCTGGCCTCTGAATAGGTGTGAATTTGATGCATATAGTGGTAAAAAAATAAGATACAAAATTGTTTGCTGTCTTTTTTCTTAGAGACAGGGTCTGGCTCTGTCTCCCAGGCTAGAGTGCAGTGGCGCAATTTTGGCTCACTGCAACCTCCACCTCTGGGTTCAAACTGTTCTTGGGCCTCAGCCACCCGAGAAACTGGGATTACAGGCATGCACCATCATCCCCAGCTAATTTTTTTGTAATTTTGATAGCGACAGGATTTCTCCATATTGACCAGGCTGGTCTCAAACTCCTGGCCTGAAATGATCCACCTGCCTCAGCTTCCCAAAGTGCTGAGATTACAGGCATGAGCCACTTCACCTGGCCTACTGTCTTTTATTATAATTATAAAAGATATAGACAGATGGGAGAGAAAGAGGTAGACAGGTAGATGATACATAAGTTTGGTGTGCTGAGATTGTTATGAATTTATTTCCCTTTCTTTTTTTCCTCTTTTCACAATAGTAATACTAAAAGAAATAGATCTGTTCATGGGGTAAATGGCAGCAGGTCAAGCTGGGGGTATGCATTTGAGTCTGGGGGTTGCAGGGATGAGTTGGTGGGATGAGGATCTTGTCAGAAGCCCATACCAGGGCATAGAGACAGCAAGGGAGGTAGGGATTGAAATGCAGAACGAGGGACCCACCTTGAGGAACTCCTGGGGCCTGGAGCCTGCTTGTCATCACACAGAGGCTAGCCTGGAAGGGCGTTGTCAGGAGGGCATTGTTGGGGAACTGGGGACAGGGCCAGGACCACTTGTGGCAAATAAGCCTCTTACTGGTTTAAAGAACATGTTCCTTTTCATGATCTGCCCTTATGGAATTAATTGTTTTGGAAAAAGTCATCTCAATGAGATTACTTCAGAGCTTTTTGAGCATAGCTCTCCTAGTTCCTGAGAGGAAAACAGCATGTTGGAAGAGAAACTGGTGGGATTTGTAGCCATGTGCAGACCTGGCTTGCAGTGCTGCGGAGCTAGGCTCACCTGACCTCCTCAGACCCCCTTGCTGCCCCTCCCACCTCCTCAGAGCCCCTTGCTGCCCCTCCCACCTCCTCAGAGCCCCTTGCTGCCCCTCCCACCTCTCAGAGCCCCTTGCTGCCCCTTGCTGCCCCCCCACCTCCTCAGAGCCCCTTGCTGCCCCTCCCACCTCTCAGAGCCCCTTGCTGCCCCTCCCACCTCCTCAGAGCCCCTTGCTGCCCCTCCCACCTCCTCAGAGCCCCTTGCTGCCCCTCCCACCTCTCAGAGCCCCTTGCTGCCCCTCCCACCTCCTCAGAGCCCCTTGCTGCCCCTCCCACCTCCTCAGAGCCCCTTGCTGCCCCTCCCACCTCTCAGAGCCCCTTGCTGCCCCTCCCACCTCCTCAGACCCCCTTGCTGCCCCTCCCACCTCCTCAGACCCCCTTGCTGCCCCTCCCACCTCCTCAGACCCCCTTGCTGCCCCTCCCACCTCCTCAGACCCCCTTGCTGCCCCTCCCACCTCCTCAGAGCCCCTTGCTGCCCCTCCCACCTCCTCAGAGCCCCTTGCTGCCCCTCCCACCTCCTCAGAGCCCCTTGCTGTCCCTCCCACCTTCTCAGAGCCCCTTGCTGCCCCTCCCACCTCCTCAGACCCCCTTGCTGCCCCTTCCACCTCCTCAGACCCCCTTGCTGCCCCTCCCACCTCCTCAGAGCCCCTTGCTGCCCCACCCACCACCTCAGAGCCCCTTGCTGCCCCTCACACCTCCTCAGAGCCCCTTGCTGTCCCTCCCACCTTCTCAGAGCCCCTTGCTGCCCCTCCCACCTCCTCAGACCCCCTTGCTGCCCCTTCCACCTCCTCAGAGCCCCTTGCTGCTCCTCCCACCTCTCAGAGCCTCAGTTTTCTTCTTTTGTAAAATGGGAATGATCACATACCTCACAGAGTAGAGGTGAGGGTTAAACAAGATTGCGTGTGGAAAGCACTCAGCCAGGTGCCCAGCTCCAGCCTGCATTGAAGACATGGGAGCTGCTGGCTCTGTCATGAGGATGGACTGGCTTTTCAGCCATCAGCTGACCTTGTTCCTCAGTGCAGGTTACTGCACTCAGCAGCTCTGGGGAACTTAAGAGCCAGGTATGTGAACTCCCTGCAGCTCCTGGGCTCATTTCTCATAAGGCGTGCACAGGCCCCAGGTGCAGCTGGGGTTCCTCACCCACCTGTGCCACACACTGACCCCCCCCCCCCCGGCACCCAGACAGGTTGAATTGGAAGCTCTAAGCCCAGGACGCAGGTTTCAGGGTGCCTTAAAGCTGCCAGGTGATTCCAGTGTGCAGCCTGGCCTGGGGACCCCTCCCTCTGCAGAAGGAGGAAAGAGGGATACCCTGAGCAATGTGTCCTGTGGTTTCCATGGTGAAAGCATCACTGGACATTTGCTCAGGGGACCTAGTCACACCGGTGGCAGCTCTTCATTTCTACTTGGATAACTTTTTTGTTCCTACACTTTTATAAAACAAATAGCACAGTCCCTGCTCCTGGATGACATGACCAATGTCACAGGTTTGGACCAGACTGCCCTCACAGTCATTCCCAGGGAAATAGAGCATGTCCCCCCAAAACTGTGTCTTTAAACTCAACCCATTGGTGGGTTCTGAAATCCATTGAGTGAGCTACAATCAACCTTTTAAAAAATGAGATCGGTCCGGACACAGTGGCTCACACCTGTAATCCCAGCACTTTGGGAGGCCAAGGTGGGTGGATCACTTGAGATCAGGAGTTTGAGACCAGCCTGAATAACATGGAGACACTCCATCTCCACTAAAAATATGAAAAATTAGCCAGGTATGATGGTTCACGCCTGTAGTCCCAGCTATTTCTGGGGCTGAGGTAGGATCTCTTGAGCCCAGGAGGTCGAGGCTACAGTGAGTCCTAATCATGCCACTCACTGTAGCCTCGACCGAGGCTGGCAGAGTGAGACCCTGTCTCAAAAAAAAAAACAGAATGAAATGGAAAATAAGAGCGCCCCACCTAGTAACTGTAGTGCTGGTTATGGAATGTCTGTACACAAGGCAGTGTGTGCTGAGAGGCAGGGTATGGAGCATGATTTCTTTCTGAGAAGCGCTGCTCCAAAATCCCTTCCCAGCATGGGGCTTTTCCAGTGTGAGCAGGGTACAGGGCTGGGCAGTGTTCAGGAGGGGGCCCACGGGAGGAGCGGGTGCTGGCCTGGGCAGCCTGAGTTGGAATCCTAGCTGTGCTGCTTGCTGGCTCTGTGACCTGGCGCAA